CTCCTAGATACCCCCCCCCCCCCCTCTTCCCACTCCACAAATGAGATTGGACCAAAGCGCTGAGCATGCTATAGTATGAAAATAGCGCTATATAAAAGCTATAATAATAATAATAGTATAAAAATTGATTTAGATCTAGATTTATTTTTTAATTAAATATTTTTTGTGTAAGCCTTAAGTGTAGTATTTTTAGATCCATGTTATTATTTAAAAATAAACAAAAAGAAACTTACTTTTTCTTTTCAAATCGCAGAAAGTAGAGCTTTATACCCATATTGAGCTGTGAATAAGTTGGGTGGTTTGCACTTTCGCGGCTGTGTGTACGTGTTTAAGTTATTTTCTATTAATTTTCTATTCTGTTAAAGAGCTAATTGTCGCACCTTTTTTTTTTTTTTTTTTTTTTTTTTTTTTTGCTGCGTTATATCAATGTTTTCTAACTTAGCCTCTCTCATCCCTCTTTTTGGTTAAATTTCATTGGAACCATTAAAAGACGGGGGAGGGAAGGAGAAAAAAAAATGGGAGTGCCATCAAAGGTCCATGCCGACCAGCAAAATGATTAGGCCAAACACAACCTCGAAGTCATCAAAGCAGTCCATGCCGCTCGTGCATATCAGAAAGTACAGTCTAACGTTTTGCAAATGATAATATGTACAGTATATTGTGTATTTAATTTTGTGTGGAAATTCTTGTTGAATTTCAAACAAAATTAATTGTAAGAAGAATTAAAAAAAACAAGAAAACGTTTTCGGGCCTTTATGTCTTGTTAAGTTGTCTGCATTGAAATTTTATTTTTTTTTGGTCGCGACCAGACCAGCCCATTTGGTATCGGCCCACCAGGCATTTGCACATATAGCCAGTCTGCCCCTGACTTCACTTGTTTAAAATGTAAATATTGATGAAATAAACAAATTTTCGGGTCTAGTTCTACAAGAACTGTCAGAGAGGTGTGGACAAAACGGTGGCGTTGTGATGGCAGAAATAACACAAATTATTTTAAAATTGGGATTAAAATCGCCTGAAACAATTTTTTTTCAAATGCGTTTTTAAAACAATTGCAAGGTAAAAACTCTTTAAAAAGTATCTAGATCTGTAGCTAATAATATCTGCTACAAGATTATAATTTCACTTGTTGGTGAAAAACATCTTCTATAAATAAAAACTGAAAAGTCCAATGAGGTCAAGTTTGTACGATGTTGAAGATATATTGATCTGAAAATTGGTAGGAATATAGCCAGACACATGTTCTATTAGCAGGAAAAAAGTCAACATGGTACGACTTTTCTGGGATGAGTATCAGCAAAAATAAAAATGTACATATACTTTTAATGCAAAATATTTAAATAATTTTATTTTTTTTTTCAAAAAATTGTCAAAGACAAAAATGTTTTCCATCATCAAAAGTAACCGAATTCACTCTTTTTAGCAATGATATCTTTACATATACTGAGCATAGTCGATTTCAAACAAAGACCTATGTAGCAGTAAGGAAAACTCTGTCTCAACATTTTACATCATTTTTTGGACACAGGAACTTCCGGAATTTCACCTCCCTACTAGATTAGATCTCTAGAGATTAGAGTTTATTAGATTTAGATCTACTCTAACTAGACTAGTCAATGACAAAGTTCTGTCGAGTTCCTCACAAGTCTAGACTAGAGACAGAGTCAGAGTTAGATTATTCTAATTCTAGATCTCTTGATAGATTTAAGATCTATTGAGATTCTTATTTTAGTCACTAAAAAAATATATATGCTAGATCTTGATCTATCATCTTGACTTTTTTAGACCTAAAGCCAGGGGCGTATTTAAGGGATGTTCATAACTAAGTTGCATTTTTTTTTTCTTTTTCATGTAGTCATAAATCTTTTTGTATTCTGCTATCCATCATTCAGTTCTCCTCCTCCCCCTCTCTTTATTGTTTAACCCTCACGTCCCCTGAAATTAAATTTATTGTTTTCAATAAGTTTAGATCTATATCTATATGTAAAATAAACATTTAAAACAATTGAAACAATTAAAAAAGAAGACAGAACAACAAGCGACATATTATATTAACACCAATTCAGAATAAAAAGAAAATTGCATTGCTTTGAAAACACTGGAGTTATTAATTCCTGGTATTTTTAAAGACACTATCTTGGGTTTCCTTTGGTGAAGTACATAAACAATAACAAAATAGTAACAAAGATGGCTGACCTATGCACTCATTCAGAATTACCCAAATGATTATTTTATGTATTTTTTGGTGAAGGTTAAAAACAAACAAAAAAAAGTTAAATTTGAAAGCAGTTGAGATTCCTCTTCTTCAACTAGTTTAATGGAATATAAAAATAGCTGTGTTACAGTGTGTTCCTATTTTACTACTTGCATATTTAGTTGACATTTTTTTTTTAACCAAGTTGTTCCAAGAAATTTCACTCTGTTGGATGAGCTTGAAGCAGGCCAAAAAGGTGTTGGAGATGGGACAATCAGTTGGGGCCTAGTTGATGATTCAGACATGACCATGACAGACTGGCAGTGTGTCATTATTGGACCACCTAAGGTGAAAGTAGTTCTCATATTTTTTGTATCAAGTAACAAAAAAAATGTATAATCTTTTGTTCTAAATAATTTCTTGTCTAGAGTATTGAACTTATACTAAATTATAATAATGATGCTTTTTCATATTTTTTGTACACACTGGCTTGCTTTAGCATTGTTGGTAATCTAGTTTTTCTAAATGTTTAAGTATTAATCTTTTTTTTTTCTTCATAATTTAGACAAGTTTTGAAAACAGAATGTATCAGTTGCGTGTGAAATGTGGAGAGCATTATCCTCACAAGCCTCCAGAAGTTCGATTCATTACTCGTATTAATATGTCTTGTGTCAACAAGGAAAATGGAGTGGTAACTATTTTATCCTTTCTTTTTTTCTTCACATTTACATGAGGAATTCTCAGCTTAAAACTTAATCTTTTAAAATGTAAGTTGTTTGTATAGTGCCTTATTTTCACTGCAGTATTTAATTAAATTATTATATTTTTTTTTAGAAGCTCAATTTTCTTACATTTTATTTAAAAATACTCATTAATTAATACTCATTAAGTTTAATTTTTCCCAACATTTTGAAAAGTTATTAGTTCACCCTATATTTGAAGCAAGCATCAATAAAAAAAATAATTTTAAAATCTTTTTTTTTTCCCCATAATAAACAGATTATAAAAAGTTTGAATGTATAACCTGATGCTAATTTTATCTAGTCACAAATAGGTACTTTAATGCAAATAAATTAGAGGAGTGAGTCAGGTTTCCCTTGTTACTATTTTGATGTCCTTTGTCTTGTGAACCATTTGTCACTTTTTGGGAATATATAGTTGTTGAACCATTTGTCATAATCATCATTAAAGTAGAGTGGACTTACTGATCATGACAAAAGTACAATACCCTGTTCAGACAACAAAGCTAAATGAGTTGAAGAAAATGAAATAAAATATTCTAGGGGAGATATTTATAAAAAGAATCAGTGAGCCATCTTCATCTTCAATTGTAGGTGGATCCCAGAAAAGTAGAAAGCTTATGGTCTCACAAAAACTGTAGTATAAAGACGTTGTTATCACACATACGAGAAATCATGATGCTGAAAGAGAACCGTATAGGACAACCAGCGGAGGGAACAACTTTTTAGGCAACACCTTAATCATTTGAATAGAGATTTCAAGGTAAGTTCCTTTTTCTCTACTTTTTATTGTCTCAGGTTTTATTTTTATTAAGGTTTTCGACCAACAAAGAAATTATGCTAATTATGTTTGTATGAACAGTTTCCTACTAAAAAAGATTCCTAGCTTTAAAAGGTAGTGTAAACATAGCCAAGAAAAATATTTTATTCCAGCTCAAACTTTTTGTAGACTTAGAAAAAAAAAATTTAGCTAAATATAATTTTATTGTATGTTCTACTTCTTTTCTTTTAAAATTGGTTACTTATACAAATGTTCATATTGTATTGATAATCTATTAATGCCAAATATGAATATCTTAAGATCTTGTTCAATATTTCATTATTTGTTATTTTCCTGTTGCAGCTCTGGAGGTACAGGACACTTATTGAAATGGGAGATAATATCAAGTTATCTCATGATTGTTCCCTAGTAAATATTTTTACCAGTGCTTTTGAATACATATTATTTTGTTTGGTTTAAATTATATTTTGTTTAGGCCTTCCATTCTATTAACATTACAATATACATTTGTAATGTATTTGTAAAATAATGCTAGTTAATAATTGGTCAACTCATGGACACAATGTAATGTTTTTTTGTTAATCCTTTATGTTTGATGCATTTTCCAACACAACATCAATCATGTTTGTAGCCAGTGAAATTTCTTGAGTAACAGCATTTATATCTTTAAAATGATAAGTTTCATGAAATATATTATTCACTTTAATAGCTATAATCACACACACATGAAGTTATCTTTTAAGAATTTTATACTTTGTCAGCTTCAGATTATTAGCTGACTTACAGGTATTCTTTCCTAGTTGATTTTGTTTATATATTTAATATTTATTGCTTTGATATTGTAAGATTGGGTATGCACGCCCGATGAGTTTGGATTTTAAAGTTCAAAAGAAAAAAGTATTCTTTCTGTAATCACATAGAATGTCTTGCAGCATAATTACAATGCTGGGATTTTGCACAGTTCTTTCATTAGTTTGCAGCCATAACAAAAATGTAGTAAATATATTCACAATGATTTTTTGTGAGCATTTTTTTGAGATTCAGGTCATTTGGCCTTGTATGAAACTTTCAAATTATAATTCATTTTACTATGATATTCCAAACATTTTTATACTTTATAAAATTTGTACATCAATCAAATTGGCAGGTTTAATTTTGTTACTGCCCCAAAAATGTTATTTTTATAGGAATTATTAGGCTATCGTACCAGTATAAATAGTTCTACAAAAAGGAGGGGGGGGGAATGAGAAAATCCCAATTTTCACCGCATGTATTTTTTTTTATAGGTAGGATAAAAAAATTCATTTAAAAAAATTGATTTGGCTGCCACCTTAAGGTATGAATGTGAACATATGTGTGTGTGTTGTACCATCCTGGCTTTCAGATCAGTCTAGTTCCATGAGCTGCTAACATTACACTTAACACTGTCATCAAGTAGAATGTTTTCAAACTCTTAATGCTTGAGTGTCTCTTTACAACAGAGTTCAACTTTCTAGTTTTTTTTCCTTTTTATTATTTTGTAATTGATGTTTATCTTTGACAGTTTCTTTCTTTTTTTCCCTTGTTTACTTTGCTTGTTCTGAGTGGTTGGAAGATAATTGATTTGAACGAATATAGAGTTCATGTAAAAAAAAAAATAACTAAGCTAAATAAAAAAAACTGTTTGCACGTTTTATGTATCAATAAATCATTAAATATTGATACTTTGTTGCTTTCTTTTTTAAATGTTGTTTTACTGTGGTCATACTTTATTCAAAATTCATAACATTATATACAAAATGGTTCAAGTGTTTAATTCAAAGCATAACAATTTTTATATAACATCAAAATGCTGACTTAACTAATATCTCTTCTGTTTCTCTTTAACCTGGGAAATAAAATAATAATTTGATTTTAATTTGAAGTAGGGCATAATGCAAGCTGTTATAGCATTGAATCCATAATCTAAGTTCCCCTTTCAGACCTTGCAATCTATAGGGGAGATATGTTAAGATCCTCTGTTTCACAAATAGGGTGTCATGTGGACATCACAACAAGCGCCTTTACTTTCCCCAACTAAAGTTTAGTTGGGTGGACCCAGGGGCACCCTAAAAATCCCTAAATTCAAAATATATTTTTTCTAATATAATTGGGAAAATAGGTACATTATTTACTTGATCATTAATTGTGCCTACAAATTTCAAATAAAGTGACAAGTTCTATTTGATAATTTCTTTGGCCAACAACCTCTTCACATCTGTTCTCTACATTTTAGAACAGGAATTTAAAGTTGGCATACATCAGCAGTTCTTTCACAGCTGCATCCAATAAAAACTCTTCCACTCAACTTTTCTTTATAGTGGTATGTTCTCTTAATTGGTGCATTACACTTGAAGCTTTATTATATTTAAGTCTTATGCTAGCTAGCCAAACATTCAAAAAGCACCAAATCAACCAAATAAGTATACATGTAAAATAAAATGTAAGTGAAAAGAAGAATTAACTTTCTATCCATATTTTTTTTGTTTTTTTTTTAAATATTTATTTATGCAAAGATTTGTCACTGATGGAAAAAAAACTTACTAAACAAATATACAGGTATGTAAATGAGATTGGATTTATAAATATCTTACTGGGTGCTACTCTACCAAGCATGTATTTATCATAAAATTAAGAGGGGGAATGAAAGCAAACTATTGATTTTCTCAGCTTAGCAAATTATGAATTTATGGCTGCAAGGTAAATATCAATATAAACATTCTCATAATATCAATAATGAAGCAATGAATTAGTAAATTTATGATCACTGATTCACTTAATTTAACTTCAACTTATTTTAGGTAACTCCATCAGGTGTAATGTCAGGCTGCGAAAAAGAGAGCTAAAGATACCATATAGCTTAAATATTAAATAAAGAGAGCTAAAGATACCATATAGCTTAAATATTAAATAAAGAGAGCTAAAGATACCATATAGCTTAAATATTAAATAAAGAGAGCTAAAGATACCATATAGCTTAAATATTAAATAAAGAGAGCTAAAGATACCATATATCTTAAATATTAAAGAGAGCTAAAGATACTATATATCTTAAATATAAAAGATAGCTAAAGATACCATATATCTTAAATATGAAAGAGAGCATAAGATACCATATTTTAAATATTAAATAAAGAAAGCTAAAGATACCATATAGCTTTAATATTAAATGAAGAGAGCTGAAGATACCATATATCTTCAATGACTATCAGTATAACTTACACAGGCACATTTGAATTGTCCCCAAAACTTTTAAAAGTATCCAAAGATTTTCTGAAAGAAATCAAATAGAAGAAATTCTACCAATGGGTGTGATGAAAATTGTTACTTTGTAATGTTACTAATATTTTTTAACATTCTTTTTATTTTTCACCTTTAAGATGAAAAATATATTGATAATATATCATACTGTTGATTGTTGCAAAATTATACACATTTTAATTTCAAAATTAGACAATTTTTAAATTCTTCCATTCGCAGCAGTGAACAGAATTCAACACAGTTATGTACAGAAAGAGTTGTTAGAAACTATATTTTGCTGTTAGTAATTGTACACTAATAGTACCTTTTTTCCTTGCCTTTCTTCTCTTCAGGCTTTGACTGTTTCCTTTTAAGACGGTGTTGTGGGAAAGATGGCATAAACTCAGGATCACATGCTTTTTAAAGAGAAGGAATAGTTTCAAAATGACAAGTTATAATCATGCTATGGACACCCACTTGTTATTTACTAAAGAAATCTGGTGTTCATTTAAACTAAGACTAAATTAGTAAATACAATTATGTTTTGTTCAGATTGAAAGAAAAAAAAAACGTACGTCGAGGCTGTTCTTTGAAATATGAACTCTGAATACAGGCTTCAGCACACGCTCTGTGATAAATATAATAACTTTGGAAAAATATTTGAATAAATATATCATCCAAAATCTAAACAGAACATTTATTAAGCTTAAAAATAGGCTTTAATTTAGTATACGCTAATATATAAAGTGAAAATAATCCAGTAAATTAGGTAGTATTAAGCCAATGAATTACCTTTTATTAGGATCATACATGAAAAGAATATTTAGCAGCTTTATCCCAGAGTCACTTAACCATGGGAATGTGTGTCTCAAATTGTTGTACCTGAAACACAAACTTCATTACAACAGAAAATATCTTGCAGAAACATTGTTTCCTTTAGAAACAGATTTTTTAAGTATTCAGCAAAGAAACAATTGTATAGTAAATAATAAATGAAAACATATAGTCAACAGATGAAATATTTATGTATAAAATTATGTCTACTTACGGTTGTTTCTTTAATGTAAAATTTTCCAAAGCTGGTAATTTTGAGAAGCCCTGGATTGAAATAAATGTCAAGGCATAAACATTTGTTCTTAAACTATGTCAATCTTCCATGTAAGACTTTATAGAGGATTTTTTTTTAAAAAGAACTTTACCCAGTTTGATAAAATTTCTAGCTATAAATGTCAGTGAAATAAGGCTATCTTACTGGCCATATGGTGTCATTTGGTGTTCCCAACATATCTAGAATGAGATCAAGCTGATGGAGTTCAGATCGCCCAGGCAACAAAGGGCGATGAGCAAGAAGTTCCCCTAATATACAGCCTGCTGACCTGGTTGAAAATACATTTGTTGGTTCAGTTTTCTTAATTCATAAGTCAAGCTTAAATAACAAATACGTCATAAGCCAATGAATGAAATATGCAAATTAATTCATTAGTGCTAAATAAAACAAAAGACAAACCACATATCAATAGCAGTTGTGTGAGTTTTGGCCCCAAGGAGCAGCTCTGGTGCTCTGTACCTAAAAAATGGAAGAATGATTTAAAAGTTAATATCTCAGTTATGAGGATGTCAAATAAAAGATTGTGCTAATACTACTACTATTGTAATAAAAAAAAAAATAGATTCAAAATATATCTTGAAATGTAGTAGATGAACTACCAACCATAATGTAACAACAGTGGGTGTCATAGGTCTGTGGGGTAGCTCATACTTTCTAGCCAAACCAAAATCAGCTAGAAAAAGATGTTGAAAACAAAAAGGGGTCATGAATTATAATAATAATTTTTTACTAATTGTTAACAATGAAACTGATTTACATAGTTGTAAATTAAACATTAAGTATACCAACCTATTTTAACACACCCCTTGTCAGTCATAAGTAAATTGGATACTTTTAGGTCTCTGAGAGTAAGATTATGACAAGAAAAAATGGTTATTTTAAGTTGTGCACAATACAAATATAATTAAGTTTGTAATCAATCATTAATAGCATGAGTAATGTTAAGACATAGTTTTGATCTAAATTTAGATAAAATGTGGCCTAAGTTTTTTGTGTAATTACTTTACACATTTAGACTAAAAACGTATGATGTAACCAAAATGACTGCATTAAGAAATTAGTTAATTACTACTTTATTTGCTCATTTTGTTATTCAGAGTGGACTGCCAAGATCTGCCATTTTTATTTTTATGACAATGACTAATCCATTTTGTAGTAATAAATACTTTATCACTTTTAGAAAGGCCATTGCTCAAATGAATTCTGTTGGTTGTTTATCTTTGAACTTGTTATACTCAAGGAATACATTCAGCTAGTTTACAGCATCAGCACATCACAGCAACCAGCGATTGTGACAAATGAAAACAACAAGATTTTTATATAAAAATGTACAGATTTTTATATCCTACTTCACTGGCACAAAGACTTAGAATAAATAAACTAATTAAAAAAGCATCGTATATCACTCAAGTACAGCTACCATCTCTTGAAGAACTTTTCCAAGAAAGATGCTTTTCCAAATCACTCACGATTCTTAAAGACAACCTGCACCCATTAAACCACTGTTACATAAGATCTGAAAGAAGTGGTCGTCTCCTTTCCATTAGGACTAAAACTGAAAGATTTAAAAACTCCTTTATTTCACTTTCGGTCAGAGTGTTACAAGATCAGCTGTTGTCATCGAGAAGTACATAAAAGTCAAATTCATAAAGCGCTGGTTGTGAATGTGTATGTGTTTTCGTGTGTGAATGTTCGAATTTTTAAGCAATATTGTTTTTGTACAGTAGTTTCGCTGAGCTTGTCAATTGTAGTCAAATTGAATTTCCATTAGATTGGATCAATAAAAATTATCTTATCTTATCTTATCGGTGTGTTAATTGAGTTATTTATGTTCATTGGAGATTACAAATCATGTACACAGAATGCAAACAGATTATCAAGATATTTCAGGAAAGAAAGGGCTGGGGGAAAATAAAAGAAAAGCTGAAATGCAAGTTTTAATTTTCCTGGAGGCTGGTCAATGTGTAAATTAACTGATACCATTTTTTACCAAAGCGAGGCTTACTTCCATTGCTCCTACAAGCTAGGTTTTGAAGAGGATAGTTTTTATACGCAGAAAGGGGATGAAATTATGCCAACTTTTAATTTTATGCTTAAGGCTTTTCTTCAAGTCCAAAGATTAATTAGGAGTGCAGTATTTCAGGTCCAATAGCAAAATAAAAAACAAAACAAAAAAAAATGCTAATAAATAAATATTATTATTAAAAAAAAAGCTAAATTTCTATTGTACAGAACTGAAAGCTTAAATGTTTATTTTTTCTCAGCTCTTCTAAACTGTTCTCTCTAGCTTACAATTCACAATCCTTAACCACAAACTTAGTATTAAACCCCTT